GTTACTGCTACTGAGACCTGATTGGTTAGCATTTCTGCTACATTTCTGCTAGTTAGTTCAGCACCAACATTCCCAGATTGCCACAGGACTCTCTGTCCCAGATCTGCGCCTTTTTCTAACAGGAAAACTAATGAACCAAAGGCTCGACTAAACAGGTAAGTTTTTAGCCTAGACTTAAAGATGGAGGCTGTGTCTGAGTCCCAAACACAGACTGGTAGGCTATTCCAAAGCTGGGGGGCTTTGTATGAAAAGGCTCCGCCCCCTGACGTAACTTTATTTATTCTGGGTACTAATAATGAGCAGCACCTTGTGATCTAAGTGGGCGTGTCGGTTGATAATAGGAAATAAGGTCACGATCGGGATCGATCATGACACCAAGGCTTTTACAGATGTGCCTGGTGCAATTGAGAAACTATGGAGATTAAGAGTAAACGTAGGCAGATTATCCCTAGCAGCTTTTGGACCAAGAAGAAGGACTTCGGTTTTGTCCAAATTTAGTAAAAGGAAGTTGCTTGACATCCAGTCTTTAATGTCTTTTACACAGTCCTCTATCTTATTAAGTTCAGTTTTGTCCTCTGGTTTAGCTGAAATATATAATTGTGTATCATCGGCATAGCAGTGGAAACTGATGCCATGTTTTCTAATGATGGTACCTAGTGGTAGCATATATAAGGTAAATAACATGGGTCCTAAGACAGAGCCCTGTGGAACACCATACTTTACTCTTGTGAGAGCTGATGGTTCACCATTTACATTAACAAACTCAAAGCGATCACTAAGGTAAGATTTGAACCACGAAAGAGCTTCACCTGTCACTCCTACTAGTTTCTCAAGCCTGTCTAATAGAATGGAATGGTCTACTGTGTCAAAAGCTGCACTAAGATCGAGTAAAACCAGTAAGGATATGTTTCCTTTGTCAGCGGATAATAAAAGATCATTTACAATTTTCACTAACGCTGTTTCGGTACTATGGTGAGGCCTGAAGCCAGACTGAAACTGTAGGTCTATAGTTTGATAGCTCAGAGGGGTCAAGACTGGGTTTCTTAATTAGGGGTTTAATTACACCTAATTTAAGAGATTTTGAAACATAGCCGAGGCTGAGAGAAGAGTTTATTATAGATAGAAAAGGTTTGGTTATTTCTGGCAAAACGTCTTTAAGTAAACCTGTAGGAATTGGATCTAGTATACAAGTTGTTGTTTTTGAAGATGAAATAATTTGGACGAGTTCTGTTTGTTGGAGTAAAGTAAAAGACTCCAGCGTCTCTGCTACTGAGTGCTGATTGGTTAGCATTTCTACTACTGAGTGCTGATTGGTCAGGAGATGTTGAAAGAACCTGTTTAATGACTTTTTCGAGTATGCAAACGGTCAGGTGAGGAGCGGGAGCAGGTAGAACCTGCAGAACCGGCTCTCTGAACCGCTCTCCTAACTTCCCACCCAGTCCTGCTGTCGACTGCAGCCAATTTACAGCTAAACAAACACACAAGTTCTTACCCACAGTCTCCGCTCATTGTAATGGTAACATGTCACGGTTATACCACTGAATGAAATCTGTCAACGTCTGAGCTGATCTAACACACCCTCTGCTGCATTTTCCCCCTCACTTTAGTGCACACATTTTATTTCTTTGCTGAATTTAACATATTTAAAAAAAATAATGTTCAGAGAGGGTACGCCTTTATTTCTATCAAGTACGTTAAGTTATGCATATTAATAACTGTAAAAACTTTTTCACGTCATCTTTTTACTTCTTTAATATGCCTGTACATCTTCAATGAACTGATATGACAGATTTTGTTCGAGGATGTAACAGTGACATTATCGTTATGTTATGACAGATTTTGTTCTGTCATATAACACCATCATGTTACCATTATAACTGTTTTGTACAGTAATGTAACAGTGACATGTTACCATTATAATTGTCATGATTCGTTTTGTACAGTAAAAAGGTTAAATGAGAAATTTGGTCCTAAAATAAATACAGACAGAAGTGTGAACAGCTCTGCTGGGGCCGAATGGCTCCGGGTGGGCCATCTCTCCCAGACAGATGGACAGCAGTGTTACTGTTTTGTATGTAATCAAATCAAATACAAAAAAAACATAAGCCTTCAAAACGATCTCACTGCTTTTAATACATAAGGTGTATTATTATTATTACTGTTGTTATTACTATTATTATTATTATTGTTATTATTATAAGTAGTAGTAGTAACTAAAAGTTATAACACTTTTTTGTTAGTTCAGTGATTTTTGTTGCTAAGATTGTACAATATTGTAAAAAACACCATTTGAAAATAGATGAATGAGTGAAAAAGTACGTGAAAAAGTGAATGTGAGTAAGTGAATAAGTGAATAAGAGAAAAGGTAAGTGAATAAGTGAATAGCTTAGTAAGTGAAAAGGTGAATTAGAGAATACGCAAGTGAATAATTGCTAAGAAAATACATTAATTAGTTTATAGATTAATTAATTAAAATAGATTAATTAGTAATTATTAATTGAAAAAGTTAATGAAATAAGTGAATGAGGTAATAAGAAAAATGTGAATAAGGGAATAGGAGAATAAGTATGTGAATAAGTGAATAGGTGAGTAAGTGAATAAATGAATTAGTGAATTGATAAGTGAATAAGTGATTATGTGAGTAAGCGAACAGCAAATAGGTGAGTGAATAAACAAGTGAATTAGTGAATTAGGATGGAGTATTGGGAATTGTGTATTTTATAAAGGAATGGAGTATTGGGAAGTGGGTATTTTATAAAGGGATGGAGTATTGGGAATTGTGTATTTTATAAAGGAATGGAGTATTGGGAAGTGGGTATTTTATAAAGGGATGGAGTATTGGGAATTGGGTATTTTATAAAGGAATGGAGTATTGGGAATTGTGTATTTTATAAAGGGATGGAGTATTGGGAAGTGGGTATTTTATAAAGGAATGGAGTATTGGGAATTGTGTATTTTATAAAGGAATGGAGTATTGGGAATTGTGTATTTTATAAAGGGATGGAGTATTGGGAATTGTGTATTTTATAAAGGGATGGAGTATTGGGAATTGTGTATTTTATAAAGGGATGGAGTATTGGGAATTGTGTATTTTATAAAGGAATGGAGTATTGGGAATTGTGTATTTTATAAAGGAATGGAGTATTGGGAATTGGGTATTTTATAAAGGGATGGAGTATTGGGAATTGGGTATTTTATAAAGGGATGGAGTATTGGGAAGTGGGTATTTTATAAAGGGATGGAGTATTGGGAAGTGGGTATTTTATAAAGGAATGGAGTATTGGGAATTGGGTATTTTATAAAGGGATGGAGTATTGGGAATTGTGTATTTTATAAAGGGATGGAGTATTGGGAATTGTGTATTTTATAAAGGGATGGAGTATTGGGAATTGGGTATTTTATAAAGGGATGGAGTATTGGGAAGTGGGTATTTTATAAAGGAATGGAGTATTGGGAATTGTGTATTTTATAAAGGGATGGAGTATTGGGAATTGGGTATTTTATAAAGGGATGGAGTATTGGGAATTGGGTATTTTATAAAGGGATGGAGTATTGGGAAGTGGGTATTTTATAAAGGGATGGAGTATTGGAAATTGGGTATTTTATAAAGGGATGGAGTATTGGGAAGTGGGTATTTTATAAAGGGATGGAGTATTGGGAATTGGGTATTTTATAAAGGGATGGAGTATTGGGAATTGTGTATTTTATAAAGGGATGGAGTATTGGGAATTGTGTATTTTATAAAGGGATGGAGTATTGGGAATTGGGTATTTTATAAAGGGATGGAGTATTGGGAATTGTGTATTTTATAAAGGGATGGAGTATTGGGAATTGGGTATTTTATAAAGGGATGGAGTATTGGGAATTGTGTATTTTATAAAGGGATGGAGTATTGGGAATTGGGTATTTTATAAAGGGATGGAGTATTGGGAATTGGGTATTTTATAAAGGGATGGAGTATTGGGAAGTGGGTATTTTATAAAGGGATGGAGTATTGGGAATTGGGTATTTTATAAAGGGATGGAGTATTGGGAAATGGGTATTTTATAAAGGGATGGAGTATTGGGAAGTGGGTATTTTATAAAGGGATGGAGTATTGGAAATTGGGTATTTTATAAAGGGATGGAGTATTGGGAAGTGGGTATTTTATAAAGGGATGGAGTATTGGGAATGGGTATTTTATAAAGGGATGGAGTATTGGGAATTGTGTATTTTATAAAGGGATGGAGTATTGGGAAGTGGGTATTTTATAAAGGGATGGAGTATTGGGAAGTGGGTATTTTATAAAGGGATGGAGTATTGGAAATTGGGTATTTTATAAAGGGATGGAGTATTGGGAAGTGGGTATTTTATAAAGGGATGGAGTATTGGGAATTGGGTATTTTATAAAGGGATGGAGTATTGGGAATTGTGTATTTTATAAAGGGATGGAGTATTGGGAATTGTGTATTTTATAAAGGGATGGAGTATTGGGAATTGGGTATTTTATAAAGGGATGGAGTATTGGGAATTGTGTATTTTATAAAGGGATGGAGTATTGGGAATTGGGTATTTTATAAAGGGATGGAGTATTGGGAATTGTGTATTTTATAAAGGGATGGAGTATTGGGAATTGGGTATTTTATAAAGGGATGGAGTATTGGGAATTGTGTATTTTATAAAGGGATGGAGTATTGGGAATTGGGTATTTTATAAAGGGATGGAGTATTGGGAATTGGGTATTTTATAAAGGGATGGAGTATTGGGAATTGGGTATTTTAAGCAGTGATGGTGTCAGAGTTGCGTGTTGTAGGAAGTGGTGGAGTCAGCATTGTGTGTTTTGGAGTCATTACTGTGTGTTTTAGGGCGCATGGCGTCAGTGTAAATGAGTTCTTCAGTGTTCGTGCTGACTGGCTGCTGTCTGTTGGCTCAGGAGCTGCTAAAAAGATCTGGTCCGTCCTGTTTTCTGGTCTAGTTTTGCCACCATAGCATTAGACACACCCCTCAGTGGTGTGGCGTCATCCTTCATCCACCTGGTCTGTGTTCTTTTGCAGTTCCTGGTCAGAACGGCCGTGTAGGTGTTTAGACCTGTACCAAGGAAGACCAGCAGCGTTCTGCACACCTGAGGACGTTCCTGCAGACATCCAGGTGAGTTTGGGGCTGTCGCTGTTTCAGTCTAATCTGGATGCAGATGTTGGTGTGTTGTCTCTGCCTGACGAAAACCATGAGTCTGTCAGTAACTCTGCAGGTAAAAGGAAGAAACACTTCAGTGCAAATTAGAAGGAAATGGACGTTTTCACTGTGTATGGATCGATGATTTGATGCTGGTTGCTTTACTGTTGCATCCATTCACTTTGTTAAAAATAGAGAGTGTCTTAAAAGTAAGGAAAGCAATAGAAAATGAATAAAAAATTAAAGGAAAAACCTTAGAAAGTGATCAGTTTAGCAGGCGGTGATCCAATTTTAGACACAGACTGTGGGGGAAGGGTGAAACCTGTTAGGCCAATATGGAACATTTCCTGATTCCTAAAATTGGATCATCGTCTGTCAAAATGTTTTCATTCTTTATGGGTGTCTGCTTACTTTTGAGGCACGCTGGGTCTTAATTACACATATTTTTTGAAAAAAAAATCTGTGTTCTGTGAATGTCTTTTTTGAGAGGCTTTTCATTGAAAATTTTACAGTTTTCAGAGACTTGAATGTTAAAAGTATTAATTAAGAATGTGCTGACGTTCTCTGTAGAAGACGCGTTCACCTATTTACACGTTTTAACATTTCAACAAAAACATGGAATTTAACCAAATTTAACCCAAACTTTTGCATACAACTGCAATTCTGCTGGTAAATACTATTATTATTATTATTATTATTATTATTACTCGTGCTGAAAATGGTAATACTAATACCTCATCACTCCTCTTGTGGTCAGATATGATGCTGTAGGCTATGATATAGCACTGATGATCTGAGACTCTGTAAACAGGTGAGGAGCAGGTAGAATCTGCAGAACCGGCTCTCTGAACCTCTCACACCAATCCAGCCGCAGATATGAGTGCTTAACCGTAACTCCCCACTGCAGTCTTACTGTCCACTGCAGCCAGTTTACAGAGATTAACCGAACACACAAATTCTTAACCAAACGTCGCAGGACTTTCACTAAAAGACTGATTTTCTGGGTAATTAACGTTTTTACTTTTTCTAACATGTAAATTCAGCTCGTAAAGTGTAACTGTGCCCAAACATTTTCATGTGTATATAAATTATGTCCGAAGAGAAAGAATCTCCAAATTAGTAACTTCTACAGCCAACTCCACAGCTAACTCTACAGCCAACTCCACACTCAACTCCACAGCTAACTCTACACCCAACTCCACACTCAACTCCACAGCTAACTCTACACCCAACTCCACACTCAACTCCACAGCTAACTCTACACCCAACTCCACACTCAACTCCACAGCTAACTCTACACCCAACTCCACACCCAACTCCACAGCTAACTCTACACCCAACTCCACACTCAACTCCACAGCTAACTCTACACCCAACTCCACACCCAACTCCACAGCTAACTCTACACCCAACTCCACACCCAACTCCACAGCTAACTCTACACCCAACTCCACACTCAACTCCACAGCTAACTCTACACCCAACTCCACACCCAACTCCACAGCTAACTCTACACCCAACTCCTCAGCTAACTTTACACCCAACTCTACACCCAACTCTACACCCAACTCCACAGCTAACTCTACACCCAACTCTACACTCAACTCTACAGCCAACTCCACAGCTAACTCTACACCCAAATCTACACCCAACTCCACAGCTAACTCTACACCCAACTCCACACCCAACTCCACAGCTAACTGTACACCCAACTCTACAGCCAACTCCACAGCTAACTCTACACCCAACTCTACACCCAACTCCACACCCAACTCCACAGCTAACTCTACACCCAACTCCACACCCAACTCCACAGCTAACTCTACACCCAACTCCACACCCAACTCCACAGCTAACTCTACACCCAACTCCACACCCAACTCCACAGCTAACTCTACACCCAACTCCACAGCTAAATCTACACCCAACTCCACAGCTAACTCTACACCCAACTCCACACCCAACTCCACAGCTAACTCTACACCCAACTCCACACCCAACTCCACAGCTAACGCTACACCCAACTCCACAGCTAACTCTACACCCAACTCTACACCCAACTCCACAGCTAACTCTACACCCAACTCCACACCCAACTCCACAGCTAACTCTACACCCAACTCTACACCCAACTCTACAGCCAACTCCACAGCTAACTCTACACCCAACTCTACACCCAACTCTACACCCAACTCCTCAGCCAACTCCACAGCCAATTCCACAGCTAACTCTACACCCAACTCCTCAGCCAATTCCACAGCTAACTCTACACCCAACTCTACACCCAACTCCACAGCTAACTCTACACCCAACTCTACACCCAACTCCACAGCCAATTCCACAGCTAACTCTACACCCAACTCCACAGCTAACTCCACAGCTAACTTTACACCCAACTCTACACCCAACTCCTCAGCCAACTCCACAGCCAATTCCACAGCTAACTCTACACCCAACTCCTCAGCCAGCTCCACAGCTAACTTTACACCCAACTCTAGACCCAACTCCTCAGCCAACTCCACAGCCAATTCCACAGCTAACTCTACACCCAACTCCTCAGCCAATTCCACAGCTAACTCTACACCCAACTCTACACCCAACTCCACAGCTAACTCTACACCCAACTCTACACCCAACTCCACAGCCAATTCCACACCCAACTCTACACCCAACTCCACAGCTAACTCCACAGCTAACTTTACACCCAACTCTACACCCAACTCCTCAGCCAACTCCACAGCCAATTCCACAGCTAACTCTACACCCAACTCCTCAGCCAATTCCACAGCTAACTCTACACCCAACTCTACACCCAACTCCTCAGCCAAATCCACAGCCAACTCCACCGCTAATTCCACACCCAACTCTACACCCAACTCCACAGCTAACTCTACACCCAACTCTACACCCAAGTCCTCAGCCAACTCCTCAGCCAATTCCACACCCATCTCCACAGCCAACTCCTCAGCCAACTCCACAGCTAACTCTACACCCAACTCTACACCCAACTCCTCAGCCAACTCCACACCCAACTCCACAGCTAAATCTACAGCCAACTCCACAGCCAACTCCACAGCCAATTCCACACCCAATTCCACAGCTAACTCTACAGCCAACTCCACAGCCAACTCCACAGCCAATTCCACACCCAACTCCACAGCCAATTCCACACCCAATTCCACACCCAACTCCACAGCCAATTCCACACCCAATTCCACACCCAACTCCACAGCTAACTCCACAGCCATTTCCACACCCAATTCCACAGCTAACTCCACAGCTAACTCCACAGCTAACACCAAAGCATCCAAACAAATTCCAGGGTTTTGAATTCATAGGAGGGCTGGAGGATGAAGGGAGTCCTAGACCTTCCATAGGATAAGGAGACGGGTTCCCCTGTTAATACTATAAAAAACTGTGTGACTGTAAAAAAATATATTTTAACTTTAAAAAGTTAGTTTTTAAGCTGCTTTAAAATTTTGAGCTAACTGAATTGAACTGAATGACAATTTCTTGACAAAATTAACCCAACTCTACACCCAACTCCTCAACTCCTAATGAGGTGACCGTCTTTTATGTTATCATCGACATGAGATTGAAGAGCAACAACATCTCAATATTAACACACAACAGTTCTATAGTTATGGCATACAATACCCTGAATGCACTATGATGTTACAATGATTTAGGCATTTAATCCTCACAAATGTTTAACAATTCAACACATACAAAATATCACACATATTTAACAAACATGCAAAAAACACACGTTTACAAATATGGAGGAAAAGAAATGATCGATTAGGGCTGTGTATTGGTAAGAACCTGGTGATATGATACGTATCATGATACAGGGGTTACCATTCAATATATTGTGATACTGTAAGGAAGGCAATATATTGCAATTTTTTAAAATCTAATTTCAGCAAAAGTGTCATGGTACAAAAAAACACCATCATATGCATAAAAGTTGCTACGGTTGTGTACAATTCAGTAGCCCTCAAAGTCCGAGTGTCGCATGTCAAAGTGACTCTCTCGGCTGAGCTAAGAGATTTTGGCACAAACGTTTTCACCTCCTTGTACAACTTGGGCACAGCAATGTCAGTGATGTGTTGTCATGCGGGTTTGGTGTAACTGTATGACACAATATTACAGAAGCCTTTGTTTTCTACAACACTGAGAGGACGCATGTCTTCGCAACTGAAATAAAGTATTGACGGAGTTATTTTGGTTGCGTTGGATCCACTTGTTTAGTGTTAGCCATTTGCTGGTCCATTAGCTATACATGTAAGCGCGGTCTCAGATTCGTCATGGTCCCCGACTCTTTGATTTTGGCATGGTATGTTTTGCAAATGGCACGGCTCTCCTGGACCTTCATAGTCCAGGTCCTCATTGCGCAAACCTGTAATGTCCCGGCCTCATGCTAGGCCACCTCCAGCCGCTAGGGGGAGACAAGGCACTGCTAAGGGGTAATTAAGGCTGAGTGGTAACAGCTGTGGGCACCCTACCTAAAGGTGCACTCTTTGTGATTACTGCATACTGCATGCCATAGGAGCCGGTCTAAGTCTTTCGGATTCAGCCGCCGGTGGTTATGTTACTAGTCAGATAGGTTTGCTAATGCTAACGGTTGTGGTGCAGCTTTACGCTCCATGTTTACATCGTAGTGTAATAGACTAATGACTGAAGACAGATTACAACACAGCGGTCGGGGATCACAAAATGAACCACTGCCTGCCACAAATCTTAGGTATGATACTTGTAATGTTCAGTTCTAGCTCACAGCTCACTGTAGGAAAGTGTCACTCTCACATTAAAAACCTTTTATTTCAAAGGTGACCAGTTCAATGCTATCTGAAAACCATGCACTCCATAGTTTTTTCGTGGCTGTGCTTAACACTGCACCGTATGAAGCATCAGTAAACGTTTCAACTGACAACAAAATCAAAAGATCTGATGGATCTCACTAATGAACGCTCTGAAAACGATGGATACGCCAGTGAAAATTTATCTGTCTTCTTTCTCTGTTTCCTAAAGGCTCAGAAATGCTGCTGAAAACTCCCACCAGACTCATCTATACAGCCAGCTTTCTGCTGCTGGCTTTAGGAGCTCTACTTTTCATTGGCTACAAGCTGAGCCTGGAGATGCCGCAGTACCCTGCGCAAACCAAAGACAACGTCTGTACAGAGGCCTGCATTGAGGCTCTTAAGGAGGATAAGAATAACCCCATTTTAAAGGACTGCCCTGTTATAGACAAAAAGAACGATCAGAAATCAGTAGCCAAACAAGCAGATCTGGAGAAGGAAGCTGAGATACTCATCTTGGTCTGGATATGGCCTTTTGGCGCACCGTTTCCGGTGGACACCTGCGAATCGCTGTTCGGTATCAAAAACTGTCATATAATAGATGACAGAAATCAATATGAGAAAGCTGACGCCGTTTTGTTCCACGCTAGAGACATCAGTGATGAGATACCAAACCTTCTGAAACTGCCACGGTATCCACTGCAGATGTGGGTGTGGATGAACAGCGAGTCTCCAGGCTACACACCTCGACTGAAAGGAGCAGATGACCTGTTCAATCTGACGTCAAATTACCGAAGAGATTCAGACATCTGGGCGCCTTATGGACGAATTGTGAGAGCCACCGAGGAGGAGAAAGCCTTTCAGATACCAAAAAAGGACAAGCTAGTCTGCTGGATTGTCAGCCACTGGAACGAAGAATTCAGGCGAGTGGCCTACTTCAAAGAATTCAGCAAACACATCCAAGTAGACGGCTTTGGAAAGCACTTCGGGAAAGAGGTGAACAAAGAAGATTTTTTCAAAGTTATTACCAGCTGCAAGTTCTACCTGTCGTTTGAGAACTCCATCCACCGAGACTACATTTCAGAGAAGGTCTTTCACCCACTGGTTCTCGGCACGGTTCCTGTGGTTATCGGCCCGCCCAGGGACAACTATGAGGAATTCATACCAAAAGATGCCTTCATCCACGTCGACGATTTCAGAACGCCCAAAGATCTGGCAGAATATCTCAAAGTCATTGACCAGAACGAAGAAATGTATAAAGGATATTTTGCTTGGAGGAAACACTTTGTTGCCAAGGTTGGTCATCCTGAAGAGCACGCCTGTCGTACTTGTGAATATATAAGAGTGAACAGGAACTACAGAGTATCCAAAAACATTAATAAATGGTATTTTAATTAGCCTGAACTCAGAGAGGAAACTCATTCGTGGACTCTTGACTACTTGATGTAGTGTCACGCTTTTGGGTAAAAATCCAGAATCAACAAATCAAAATCCCACACATCATATAGGTCCTATGGAGGAAGATCTAAAGCTGCAAACACTTCAGAGGTTTTGAGTACAAAAAACAAAAACAAAACAAAAGCACTTGTACATTATTAAAAATTGCTAAAGTTCAGAACACAAACTTTAAAGATTTACAAATGAAAGGTTTTAATCTTCATAAAATATTTTTATTTCTGTAAAAAGCAGCAGCACTTAAGAGAAGGCCAGTGCATGTAAGATTTAGAGTTGATGAAACAAGATTATTTGCATATTTCCTGTTCACTGTCATTGTTTTTTTTTTTAAAGAGTACCTCCGGGGTGTGTACTGGGCCACTCTTTTGTCTTTTAGCCTTGTACCTGAATGTCTCCATGTTTGAGATTTGAAGATACAGAAGATACTCTAATGTTTCTGAGACAGACTGAGAAAGTTCAGACTGGCCTTTCCAGACGTCTTATTATTGGATGATAGCAGGTCTGGATGTATGTGTTACTAAAGAAGAGAGACATTCGAAACAGCGCATTATGATCGGCACACTCAAAACACACAAAAGCTGTGAAAAGCTGATTGTAACTGAACTGTTCAGGGAGGTCAAATCTGCATAAAAATGTTACACTTTTCTCAAATACATTTGTCTTTTAGTTGACTGTTTAAAATTAGAGTTTGCCTATTTATTCTTGTATGTTAAAATTTTATTAATTGGTTTATTATCTTGGTTTTATTTTATATTTCTCTTTTTATCTTGTCTGGTTTCTCTCCATTTATCTTGTCTGGTTTTTCTGTTAATTTGTTTATGTAGTTTTGTTCATTTTAGTTTAACCAGATTAAATTCCATTTTAATTTCTTTGTCAATCTAATGCTGACAAAGAAATTAATGTTGTAAATGCTCAGCTACATTGACAATGAGGGTCACCCTGAATGTATTTATAGAGTGAAAATAAAGGTTGATTGATTGGCACATTGATTGGTTGATTGTTTTACTAAGTCATCTGTACAAATAAAACTGCAGTTATTGCACTATATCTAAAGAAACTGAATGAACAAGACTTTTTAAGTCTTAATTTTTCATTTTGATGCTCTTATTTATGTAAAGCACAGTGAACAGCCTTTGTGTATGAAATGTGCTGTATAAATAAAGTCACACTGCCTTAATACTATTAATATTAGCACCAAACCAACCACCAATACCTGCTTTATCTAATCAATACTTCTTTGTATTGAGTCAGGTGCATGCGCATATATATATATATATATATATATATATATATATATATATATATATATATGTGTGTGTATATGATCGCAGGCACAAGCTGAAGGAGAGTTGGGACACCTTAATCCAAAAATGCTGGGACGCTGTGTAAAATGTAAATAAAATCAGAATGCAATGATTTACAAATCCCATAAACCCATATTTTATTCACAATAGAACACAGATACTATTTCATGAAAAACAACTCATTTAGAACTTGATGGCAGCAACACATCTCAGAAAAGTTGGGATGGGGCAGCAAAAGGCTGGAAAAGTAAGTGGTACTAATAAAAACAGATGGAGGAGTAATTTGTAACTAACTCACATGACTGAGCATATAAAGAGTATTTTAGAGAGGCAGAGTCTCTCAGAAGCAGCGACGGGCAGAGGTTCACCAATCTGAGAAAAACTGCGTCTATAAATTGTGGAACAATTTCAGAAAAATGTTCCTCAAATTGCGAAGACTTAGAAAATTCCATCATCTACAGTACATAACATCATCAAAAGATTCAGAGAATCTGGAGAAATCCCTGTAAGGGACAAGGCCGACGGTCAGTATTGAATGCTCATGATCTTCGGGTCCTCAGGCGCCACTGCACTGAAAACAGTCCTGATTCTGTACTGGAAATCACTGCATGGGCTCAGGAACACTTCCAGAAATCACTGTGTGTGAAAACAGTGTGCCGTGCAATCCACAAACGCAAGTCAAAGCTGTGTCATGCAAAGAAGAAACCAAATATAAACAGAATTCAGAAACGCTGCCAACTTCTCTGGGCCAAAGTTCACTTAAAATGGACTAAGGCAAAATGGAAAACCAGACCATCAGAGATGCAGCCTTTTAAACTGTGTCCTGATAACCGTACACGGCGTCCGTGGTTTCCAAAAAGAATTCAAACTTTTGATTCATCTGACTACAGAACAGGGTTGCATTAGTGCCTATGGCGTGGGCAGCTTAAACAAATGGAAAGGCTCTATCAATGCTGAACAGCATATAGAGGCTTTAGAACAAAATATGCTGCCATCCAGACAGCGTCTCTTTCAGGGAAGGCCTTCATATTTCAGCAAGACAATAAACCACATACTGCATCCATCACAACAGCACGGCTTCACAGAAGAAGAGTCCAGGTGCGGAACTGACCTGCAGTCCAGACCTTTCACCAAAACATTTGGCACATCATGAAATGAAAACTCCAGCAAAGAAGACCCAAAGGAGCCCCAGGACTGTTGAGCAGCTAGAATCCCACATCAGACAAGAATGGGACAACATTCCTCTCCCAAACCTCCAGCGACTGGTCTCCTCACTTCCCAGATGTTTACAGACTGTTGTTAAAGAAGAGGGGATGCTGCGCGATGGTAGACGCGGCCCTGTCCCAACTTTTTTGAGATGCATTGCTGCCATCAAGTTCTAAATGAGTTAATGTTTTTCATGAATAAATGTAAAATGTCTCACTTTCAACATCTGATATGTGTTCTATGTTCTATTGTGAATAAAATATCCTGTACAATGTTTGTTTATTTGTATGTATTCTAATGTTCTATGGTAGCCTATCCCAGTGGTAGCTGGATGGAATATATGTTACATTTTTATTCATATTTATATATTCATGTTTGCATATATGTTCTTTTAATCAATTTTATTAATAATTTATTACGTGTATTTTTTTTCTTTTTATGATACATTTTTGGTCCACCTCTTTGTATTTAAACTCACTGTCCATCTATCAGCTCCACTGACCAAATAGTTTCACTCTGTAGTTCTACAGTTACAGACTGTAGTCCATCTGTTCCTCTGCATACTTTGTTATCCTGTTCTTCAGTGGTCAGGACCCCACAGGACCCCCACAGAGCAGGTATTATTTGGGTGGTGGGTCATTCTCAGCACTGCAGTGGTGATAGGAACCAGACGTCCACCTCTAAAATAATAAACTTATTATTTCAGATTTTCCGCTATTTTCATCATCAACATTCCATATAAGCTCAGAAGACTCGTGTAGGTTCACTGGTGGTTCTGGACAGTAAATAAAATGTCTATATTTGTGTTGTAGTCATGGCGACCCCTGGTTCCTATCACCACCACTGTAAAGACATCTGAACTGTTTCACACCAAACCACTCTGAATCTCTCTGAATTATGGGGAAATTTAGGAAAACTGGTGAAATTCCGGTTTAATGTCCACATTGGGTCTTTTGAGCCCAGTGTTTAGGCATCATCTCAGGAGTGAATACCTCCGACAGTAAAACAGGGCAGTTCCAGACTGTACTGCCCTTCAATTTTAAGCCTTTATAAGAATGTTTAATGACCCACAGGAGCCCTGGACAGGTTTTACCTTAAATATACTGTATTATTTGCTCTACTGTAGTTCAGAAAATGCCACCGAATGGTTGGTTATGATGTGGAAGGACAGAGAGTTGCAGTTATCTTTCCTCCCCCTAGTGGCAGAGGAGGTAAACTGCATTATAAAATGCTCTAATGTTTGTTCTTTTCTCCTTCTTTGTTTATTTTAAACATTTTAGCTAGAATCTGGGAAATTGAAACATCATTTTTTTGGAGTTGTAGTTTTTCATATTTTCAGGAATGAGAGTATCTAGGTAAATAAGTCACTCTTCATCTGAAGCAGCAGATTTTTTTTAATAAAAACAGGTTTGCGTACACAACCACACAGAATACAGTAATACTCCTAAATAACTCCTTCAGTGACGGTTCATCGTAAGTTATCTGGTCAGTTTTACAGGCCCGTTCTGGCCTCTAACAAGCTCTGATTCCAAATCAACCCAGAAGCTAGTCTGATCAGAGAGATCAGAACCAGCAGTGCTGTTCTTCACATTAAGCTCTAGTGCCCTGCTCCTCGGCCCCGTCCCAAACACATCTGACGAAAGCGCACTATGTTGGTAGTACAGCGAACAGGCCCTACACTCTTCCTGCTGAGTGGAGAGTGATTGAGAACACAGCCCAGTTCACTCTCCCTCAGCTTCTGAAGGGCTTTACATTCCTCTGATCACACCGCGGAGGGATCTGGGTGGAGACGATGGAAGAACTTTACATTTAACAACCTGTGGAGGTTCTTCTCAATCATCCATCCATCACTCCATCCAACCATCCCTCCACCTACCCATCAATCTGTCCATCCATCCATCCATCCATCCATCAGGTCATCCGCTCAACCATCAATCTACTCATCCATCCCTCAGGCCATCTGTCTAATCATGCATCTCTCCATCCATCCATCCCTCAGATCATCTGTCCAATCATGCATCTCTCCATCCATCCATCACCCCTCAGGTCATCAGCCCAACTATCCACCCATCCATCCATTCATCCACTCATCCATACCTCAGGTCAGCTGTCCAACCATTCATCACTCCATCCAACTATCCCTCCATCCCTCCCACCTACCTATCTATCTATTCATCCCTCAGGTCATCTGCCCAACCATCCATCCATCAATCCATTCCCTGCTCAGGTCATCTGTCCAACCATTCATTACTCCATCCAACTATCCCTCCATCCCTCTACCTACCTATCTATCTATCCATCCCTCAAGTCATCTGTCCAACCATCCATCCATCCATTCATCCCTCCATCACATCCATTTATCCATCTATCCATCCCTCCCTCTATCCATGCATGCCTCCATCCCTCCCTCCATCACAAAACATCTATCCCTTGGTCATCTGTTTATCCATCCACCCATTCTTCCATTTCTCCTCCATTTATCCATGCATGAGTCATTCATCCTTCCATCCAGTCCTTCCTTTTCTCCATCCATCCATCCATCCGTCCAATCCAACTCTCTGGTGATCTGTTAATCCATCCATCCGTCCTTCCAGCCACCTCTTCATCAATCCCTCAAAACATCTCCCATACAGTCTTCTCTTCTTCCATCCAGCCTCCACTCCACCATCACACCCATCCCTCTTTCTATCTACTCCACCCCACGCATTGATCCTTTCATCCATCCCTCCATTCCTCTACCTATCCATTCATCAATCCATTCTTTCATTCTTTTAAACATCCATCCATCCACCCATCCATCCCTCCAGACTGTGTTCAGATGAGCTGCTCTGATTTGCTTGATTAGTATCTGCTCTGCTCTCAGAGTGATGATGATGGTGATAGCTGAAGCTAATCGTCCTCTTCCTCAGATGAAGAGCGCAGCGTTCCTCCGCTGTCGTCACGGTAACGGTATGCGAGGCTGCGGAGCTGCTCCAGGCTTTCAGCCAGCTCTGTGGGCTCCAGGCCCTGGGACAGAAAACTGGGGGCCATGCGGCGCAGATCCAATGAACTACAGGACTTCTGCAGCTCCGCCAACAACTGACCAACAGCCACGCTAGACTGGACACATGTCAACACCGGCACAGACGAAACCACAGGAGCTGAGGGGGTGGAAAGAGAGAGAAGTATTAAAATACGTGATGTTACACTGAGATATTCAAATCAGCTGAAGCGCTGTAGGACAGTAAAAACGTAATTCACTTCAAATGACTGGCGCTGCTTACTAAACATGGAGAACCAGCGTTTAGCTACTATGCTGCTCAGTTGACCGAGAGCATTAGAAGAGCCCCAAAACTGGACACTTTAAATCTGCCTGAAAACGTTCCTGTTTGAGCTACTTTCAGCTCAGTTTAAACACTGTTAGCTCTGTTGCACTTCTGTCCTCCAACACCGCTCTAACGTCCTCATTTAATCTTTAATTTTACTTTTAATTTAATGTTCATTTTTTTCTTTTAAATCTATTGTTTTAATCATGTTTTAAGTTCCATTTTTGTTTACATTGTTACTTTCTAAACTTTAATTTGAATTGTCTTTGTATTTTCCCTCTTTTTCCACTTTTAATGGCTGCAGTGTGTGAAAGGTGCTATGGAAATAAACTTGCCTTGTCTAATGTAATGCAGTGTACAGTGTGCAGTGTGATGTAACAGCATACAGTAGGACAGCAGAAGACATCTGTAGTGTTGTAACTTAGAGTACAGTAGATCATTAGTATTTGTATTGTAATGTAGAGTACTGTAGTACAACATTTCAGTAACATAGTGTGATGCAGTGTAGTATAATTATTACGCAGCTTAGTGAAGTTTATCAGTACTTGCCTGTCGTCGGGGTTTGGCTCTGAATTAGACCCTGGGGGTCCAGGATCGGACTGAAAATCTGGGGGAATGGAGAGGTCAGTTTACTGGAGGAGGACACCAGCTGCACCGCCCTGCAGAGACAGAAAAACACAGGCTTACTGTCAGGAACTCAGAAGAGTTTGGGTCTGTAAATATGTGAATTTGTGTTTGTATATTAGAGTCTATCACAACAGAAAAATAGAGTGATCTGACGTACGTGTGTATGTGTGTTTGTGTTACTCACAGTGGTGTAGAAGGGTAGTGTGATCTGATGTACGTATCCAGAACCTCCAATCCTGACCGTGCGCAGTGCAGAGGGCTGGGTGGCTCAGTGCCAGGAACCAGTGGACTGCAGGAAAATGTAAATAAGGAATGTTACAGTAACCCTTTGCGACACTACCATAACACATTCATGTCATCTATTAATCATCTATCATGTAACCTGCTCTGATTTAACTGCCCCCCGTGTAACCTGCTGTGGCATCACCATCCTAATGTAACCTACTCTGATGTAACTGTGTGTGGTGAAACCATCTCTGCCAAAACCATATTTAACCTGCTCTGACGTAACCACTGGAGGCGAAACCACCCTTAAGTGTAACCTGCTCTCCAAACCTGCTCTTAAGTAACTGTCTCTAGAGAAACCATCCTTAAATATAACCTGCTCTGGTGTAACCATCCTAAAAGTATCCTTCTCTGGTGTTTCCGTCTGTGGCATGACCATGCTTAATGTAATCTGCTATGAAGTAAAGATCTCTGGTGAAACCATCCTTAAAAGTAACCCGTTTTGATATAACTTCCTTATATGTAACCTGCTCTGGCGAAACCATCCTTAATGTAACCTGCTCTGGTGTAACCGTCTATGGTGAAACCATCCTTAATGTAACCTGCTCTGGTGTGACCGTCTCTGGCGAAACCATCCTTAATGTAACCTGCTCTGGTGTAACCGTCACTGGCGAAACCATCCTTAATGTAACCTGCTCTGGTGTAACCGTCTCTGGCGAAACCATCCTTAATGTAACCTGCTCTGGTGTAACCGTCTATGGTGAAACCATCCTTAATGTAACCTGCTCTGGTGTAACCGTCACTGGCGAAACCATCCTTAATGTAACCTGCTCTGGTGTAACCGTCACTGGCGAAACCATCCTTAATGTAACCTGCTCTGGTGTAACCGTCACTGGCGAAACCATCCTTAATGTAACCTGCTCTGGTGTAACCGTCACTGGCGAAACCATCCTTAATGTAACCTGCTCTGGTGTAACCGTCACTGGCGAAACCATCCTTAATGTAACCTGCTCTGGTGTAACCGTCACTGGCGAAACCATCCTTAATGTAACCTGCTCTGGTGTAACCGTCTCTGGCGAAACCATCCTTAATGTAACCTGCTCTGGTGTAACCGTCTCTAGCGAAACTAATATCTTACCTCACTAGGTTCTGCCCTTCTAGTCCTTTGAGCGTCACTGATTGGCTAAAGCAGCGTCCATCAGCACGCTCAGGACAGGCTGATAGGGGTTTCCAAGGTAACACATCATGACAGGCTTGCAGGGCGTCAGGGAGACAGCTGCTTTGCATCATGGGAAACGGTACAGATCCGTATGCACATACAACCTGTGATTAAGAAATAAAAAGATACAGAACACGAATAAGATAGAAATTCATCACAAATTAGTCCACAGTTAAGCAAAAATGATAAAGCACTGACTGTTAAAGAAAAATCCATAGAAACACTGACAACATACACAGAGAAATAGACCAACAAATAAAGACTAAAATCAGGTTTGACTTTATTATTCATAATGAACAATGTGTAATGAATATTTCCTATGAAGATGCATGTATGTCTGTCTGCATGTATCAGCTATATGTATTACGCATGATGCTTTAGTAAAATGAAGTATGATTTTATGAGGCAGTGTTTCATCTCTGTAGGGGTCACTGAGCAGGCCAGTTTTATGACCACACTGCTATGAGGTCAAACTGAGAGGTGAGCTGCTTTTATTTGCGCTGTAAAACAAACTGTTCACTGCTCACCTTTCTCCCTGAAACAGTCAGTGTGTCTGCCAGCTGCCACATGGGGGTGCTGTTGTGTCTCAGTCTGTAGGACTGAGTCATAGTATCCAGTGCTAAAGCCAGAATAGAGCTAGAGTGATACCACAGAGAGGACTAGAGAGAGAGAGAGAGAGAGAGAGAGAGATAAATACACATATACAAACTCGTATGCAAATGCTTTAACGGAATGGTAAAATTCCACGTTGTTGATTTTCTGAGTGTGAATAAATTAACACATCATCTACAGAGACACTTCTGCACATTTTAATACAGAATCACTGTTTATTTACTGAATTTAACATATTGAGGAAAAAATAAAACTTAAAACATGGCCTGTGCAAAAGTTATGGCACATTCTATATATTTACTGTTCTATTTTTTCCCATTATGTTACACTCAAAAGAGAAATTATCCACTAAAATTAGCTTCAACTTTCACAAATCAACAAAAAATACCATTTGAATCAGGGGCGCACAAACTTTTGTACAAACTGTACTTATTATTACACACACAGTCTGACAGAAAGACACGTCAGAAACATGTCGGACAGTCCAGCAGCACTTCCACTGCAGTGTCTGTACCTCAGAGCGAGCGGCAGGCTGACTGAAAATCACTCACATCATAATTGAGCAGAGGAAACGAGGTGGGCGGAGCCGGCCGCCTGCCCAGCCCGCCTCTCAGGGTCAAAGGGCAGAAGAAGGAGCTGTGATTGGCCATGTGGACGGTTCCCAGAGCGCAGTTCATCATGTGATATAACTCCTTAATGGGGCTCTGAAACAGAGACAGTAAGAAAGCCGTTGTCAGGATGAACACTGACCGAGGAACACAATCAGAAGACTGAATACAACAAGCAGATCCAATCAGAGCAGCCAGCGTAGGAGCCCCTCCCACCCGTTATATAAATATATTATATAAACAGGTAAGATTCCTGTTTACACGCAAAAACCTTTACAGAACATCATTTCACATACACATCATACAGCTCTACTCCAAAGGCTTAAATAAGCGTCACATTCATCGAATAAACCGCAATTCAGCTCACTCACTGAGTCCCGGTGAGTGACAGGAGCCACACCCCACGTCAGGATGCCCCGCCCACCATAGGAGTCCTGCAGAAACTCTGTGACCTTTGAGCCCAAACCTGAGAAACCATCAGCCATGTCACACAGCACCTGGAAACCCTGCAGATAGATAGATTCTCTCAGTTACAGAGCAGATTTGTCTCGTTTCTCCCAGTTACAGAGCGGTTTTATCTACTTCCTCTCAGTTACAGAGCGGATTTGTCTCGTTTCTCTCAGTTACAGAGCAGTTTTATCTACTTTCTCTCAGTTACAGAGCAGTTTTATCTACTTTCTCTCAGTTACAGAGCGGATTTGTCTCGTTTCTCTCAGTTACAGAGCGGATTTGTCTCGTTTCTCTCAGTTACAGAGCAGTTTTATCTACTTTCTCTCAGTTACAGAGTGGATTTGTCTCGTTTCTCCCAGTTACAGAGCGGTTTTATCTACTTCCTCTCAGTTACAGAGCGGATTTGTCTCGTTTCTCTCAGTTACAGATCGGATTTGTCTCGTTTCTCTCAGTTACAGAGCAGTTTTATCTACTTTCTCTGTTACAGAGCGGTTTTATCTACTTTCTCTCAGTTACAGAGTGGATTTGTCTCGTTTCTCCCAGTTACAGAGCAGTTTTATCTACTTTCTCTCAGTTACAGAGTGGATTTGTCTTGTTTCTCTCAGTTACAGATCGGATTTGTCTCGTTTCTCCCAGTTACAGAGCAGTTTTATCTACTTTCTCTCAGTTACAGAGCAGTTTTGTCTTGTTTCTCTCAGTTACAGATCGGATTTGTCTCGTTTCTCTCAGTTACAGAGCAGTTTTGTCTTGTTTCTCTCAGTTACAGATCGGATTTGTCTCGTTTCTCCCAGTTACAGAGCGGTTTTATCTACTTCCTCTCAGTTACAGAGCGGATTTGTCTCGTTTCTCTCAGTTACAGATCGGATTTGTCTCGTTTCTCTCAGTTACAGAGCAGTTTTATCTACTTTCTCTGTTACAGAGCGGTTTTATCTACTTTCTCTCAGTTACAGAGCGGATTTGTCTCGTTTCTCGCAGTTACAGAGCAGTTTTATCTACTTTCTCTCAGTTACAGATCGGATTTGTCTCGTTTCTCCCAGTTACAGAGCGGATTTGTCTCGTTTCTCGCAGTTACAGAGCAGTTTTATCTACTTTCTCTCAGTTACAGAGCGGATTTGTCTCGTTTCTCCCACTTATAGAGCGGTTTTATCTACTTTCTCTCAGTTACAGAGCGGATTTGTCTCGTTTCTCTCAGTTACAGGGCGGATTTTGTCTCGTTTCTCGCAGCAGTTACAGAGCAGTTTTATCTACTTTCTCTCAGTTACAGAGTGGATTTGTCTCGTTTCTCCAGTTACAGAGCGGTTTTTATCTACTTTCTCTCAGTTACAGAGTGGATTTGTCTCATTTCTCCCAGTTACAGAGCGGTTTTATCTACTTTCTCTCAGTTACAGAGCGGATTTGTCTCGTTTCTCGCAGTTACAGAGCAGTTTTATCTACTTTCTCTCAGTTACAGAGTGGATTTGTCTCGTTTCTCCCAGTTACAGAGCGGATTTGTCTCGTTTCTCGCAGTTACAGAGCAGTTTTATCTACTTTCTCTCAGTTACAGAGTGGATTTGTCTCGTTTCTCCCACTTATAGAGCGGTTTTATCTACTTTCTCTCAGTTACAGATCGGATTTGTCTCGTTTCTCCCAGTTACAGAGCGGATTTGTCTCGTTTCTCGCAGTTACAGAGCAGTTTTATCTACTTTCTCTCAGTTACAGAGCGGATTTGTCTCGTTTCTCTCAGTTACAGGGCGGATTTGTCTCGTTTCTCCCAGTTACAGAGCAGTTTTATCTACTTTCTCTCAGTTACAGAGTGGATTTGTCTCGTTTCTCCCAGTTACAGAGCGGTTTTATCTACTTTCTCTCAGTTACAGAGTGGATTTGTCTCATTTCTCCCAGTTACAGAGCGGTTTTATCTACTTTCTCTCAGTTACAGAGCGGATTTGTCTCGTTTCTCCCAGTTATAGAGCGGTTTTATCTACTTTCTCTCAGTTACAGATCGGATTTGTCTCGTTTCTCCCAGTTACAGAGCGGATTTGTCTCATTTCTCCCAGTTACAGAGCGGTTTTATCTACTTTCTCTCAGTTACAGAGCGGATTTGTCTCGTTTCTCCCAGTTACAGAGCGGATTTGTCTCGTTTCTCTCAGTTACAGGGCGGATTTGTCTCGTTTCTCCCAGTTACAGAGCGGATTTGTCTTGTTTCTCTCAGTTACAGAGCGGTTTTATCTCCTTTCTCTCAGTTACAGAGCGGATTTGTCTCGTTTCTCCCAGTTACA